AAAATAACAGACAACAATACTACTAACAACAACAACAATACTGTTATTGTTGTTTTTAAATTGTAATATTTATCACAACAATATAAGTATGAACAATACTAATGGGTATGTATTTGTAAAAATAGGCCAAATGTAAAGGTTGTCTACACGCCTGAATCATGCTCTAAAACCTATTGGTGAGTAGATGCAGGATATTGAAATATCTCGGTCCTTGCAGAATGTTGCTACTTTGTTTAAGTTCCGTTAGAAAATGATGAAATACATAGCACTATAGTATATAATATAATGTTCTTAATGGGTGAAACGCCCTGCATTACGCACAAGACAATCCGTGTTGTTTAGTTTTCCCCCTCCTATTTCAGCTTTTTAAATATAAAATGAGGATTTCATATTGAACGACTACTCTGCACTTCCATTCATGCGTTAGATGCCAAAATGTTCATCTGCCAGAAAAGGCTGGTTAAAGTTAAAATGTGCCATTTCTGGTTTACGGCACAGGAAACGTGTAATTGTTAGCAGAACTTGCATGTGGGTTTGTCCATGTCCGTATGTCCAAAAGTCAACCACATACTGTAGTTCCCACTGGGGACAGACGTCAGTTTAACGTGTAATTTTCATTTACATTTGGTTGAGTTGTCAACCAACTTGAATTTAACGTGAAATCAACAAAACATGTCACCATGTCATTGGATTTATGTTAAAAGTTGGGTGAAAAAATTCCCTTACATTGATGACTTTTTGCAAATCCAATCAGTTTTCCACGTTGATTCAGCGTCATCACATTTTTTTTTTTTTTTAATGACGTGAAACAACGTTGATTCTACCAGTTTTTGCCTAGTGGGTTATTTCTCTTGTCTTTTGCACAGAGGATGCTAGATCTATTTCTAGATAGTCTTTCAAAAGTGTGCACCGCTGAAGATTTTGACAGTATTGAACGTGAGGTAGGTAAGCACACTGGAAAATATTTTAAACTCCTATTGTCATTATTTGCCATAGCCTGGCCATGGGCCTAGCCTACTATGCTATAGGAATTTGTTCAACCCTTTACCTACGAATAGGCTACTGATTTCGTCTATACCCGACAAACAGGTATACCAATACATGTGTTGGTAATATGGCAAAGGCCCCTGCTGGAAAATATTGACTCGTTTTCTGTTGAGGAATTTAGATAAAGCCAAGTGAGTAGCACATAGCCTATGAATAGCCATTTCCAGTAATGTAGCCCATGCACTCAACTCTTTAGTGCACGTGCTCGACCTTCCAACCTCAAGGTTAGACTTTTGCATTGTGCTGATTATAACATAAGCAAAACAGCTCGTTATAATATGGTTTAATTCTACTAATGCACTATTCTACTATTCTTAGCAAGCAATGCACTCACAATTCTATTTTCATAAAAACCAGTCGTTTTTTATGTAGATAACGACTGATGCATGCATGGACAGCCAGGTGGATTTGTATTTTTTTTTTTTTTTTAAAGCCCAGCATTCCAGCGTTGAGAGGAAATATCTGTATAAAATCGATTCCATTACCTTCCAGAGCAGCGGCATAGTATTTAGAGCCTTTCTCAGTTGTAAAACTTTACAGCAATCTGGGGTCTCCGTAGTCATTGATACAGTTATACGAGTTTAACAGATGTTCGTCTCATCATTTGGAGAGCAATTCTTTGTGATTATGAAAAAGGAATGTTAGGAATATGTAAATTGTCGTTCCTTCGTTGCACAAAAAAAGTTGGGGCTAAAATCGTGCTTTGCCTGTAGGATAGTCTTCTATCTGGGCTCCTAGGACATGGCCGTCATTCCAAGTTCCCCCACAAATGTTTAATTGCTTTAGTGCAGCCCGCCAGACAAGAAGTAAACAGCAGCGTGAGACTGGTGTTGTCAACGTCAAAACTGCAGTGTCTGGAATACAAAGGAGGCCAAAGGCCCGTCGGAAACTAATGGATTAGCTTTTGCAAAGGAAGATACAAATTCGTTTGGTTTTCGGATCAAGAGCCCTATAGTTTTAATCCAATGATGTTTGTCATACGTCAACATCCTCGAAGTCTGGTAAGCTTTGGCTACTTTGTTGAGTGTAGTTTTACTGTAGGCGAATACGTCTTCCCATAGCTTATTGTTGTTATTGACTACATACTTGCACCATGCCATATGCATCAACGTGATTATTCTTTATCATCCCATGGGGCAGGCTTTACAGAAAAATATGGAAACACAGTTCATCCCACGAGGCTACGTGTGCAGATCAAGGTAAAGCTGCATTGAATGATGTAGCATAGGCCTACTGTAGAATAGTTAAATTATATAGAATATAAACAATTTAAATATAGGTGATGTTTTTAAAATTGTATAGACAGACCTATGTTAACGCCAATTTTGCAGGCATATGCAATACTAACTCAGTAGCAGTAGCAATGGTCGTTCTGCGCCCATGCAAACGTTCTATACAACCTTTTACATCTTTCTCAGTTTTAAAGTAGTTTTTCTTCTAATATAGGCCATATTTCCCCTCAGACACGGTGCTTATGTATTCTTCTGTCGAAGTATGACCTTAACATGTGTAAGCTAATAGCCTAATATTTTATGATAAAGTCTATCAGTTTGCAATAGTGCTTCTGTTGACAATTACCTGCAACGAATCTGTCATTTCTATCAGATTGAATCTATCGGATGGACAGCCGCAAGGGCCTATTGGTTAACGAGAAAGACAATTATGTGTTACTCTTTTATGTTTCTTAGCTATGTGTTTCATATGTAGGAAATATGCTTATAGCATACGGACCTATAAGTTTAGATCAGTTGGCTAGTCTATACATTTTAGTGAACTGTAAGAATTAGGCTACATTATTTTGTATTAGTTGCACGGAGTCTTTGTTGTCTGTCCAAAGCCAACATATGGTATTAGTTAGCCTGTAAATACAGTCAAGAAAGGTGTATAATCCTCTAGGCCCTACAAATTCACAATATTATATGTGTACCCAATATTCAACGTGGCATAAACTATTCGATTGATTAAACTGTACAGCGACATCTGGAGGCCACAAAGGATGTTTGCTCGGGGAGACTTCCAAACCTTTCTGATTTCCCTTTGTTTTAGTAACCTCGTTTTTAACTATAACCTTTACATGCATTCAGCAGTATCTGTATTCTCTGTCAGTTTTCAACATGCACAGTGTCCCTTAAATCTTTTTTTTTTTCATCAAACCTTTCACCTCAATGCTGTAGACTACTCCATTGAGTGGACCTTGTGGAATGAAAACTAGGCCTGCCTATTTAGGATGCATACTTGGGCACCAAAGAACACTTATAGTTCTATCGTTGAGACATACAGATGTTTTCACTTATTTCTAAATTCAGAATTTACGCACGTGTTTCGAAATTAAACATACCTTCTATGCCAGCTGTTTTCTTTGGCCATATTGCCTAATGCATTAAAATGTTGCCGCTCAAAACATACAAGACTATTACAACTTGAGGCTTAATTGTAACCCTGATTATGGGCCATGACATTTACTTTCTTGTAATTTCAAACATGTAACACTAGATAGCCTAAATCGAACTTATACAGTTCGTTTTTACTTCTGCTCGTTCGTGTGCCCACAATAGGCCTATCCTCTACCTACATATGAAAGACAGTCCTGCATTAAATGATTGTTTTCATTCCAAATTGAAGTGTCTATAGGTGTGACTGAAATAATACTTTACATAAATAAAGAAAGCAGTTTCATCACTTTTTAGGAATGTGTGTGAGGGGTACTCCACATTTATTTTAAAATGACAACAATTGTAGATTTGCAATGTGTTACTAAGAAGGTAAGAACATTATGACTATTGCTGTCATAGCTATAGGCCTTAGTTGTTACTATTGTTATCATTATTGTATGATTACTAAACAATACAGTGTTAAAAATAAATGTACACGCTGGCCTTATATAATTTATCCATAGTTGGAAAAATTCAAGATTGTCTGTAAAGCTGGGGGGTTTATTATGTACAAATAATAAACACAGTTGACAGAATATAAATAATCAACAGCAATGACTCATTAGGTTATAAGGAGCCATGGCTAAGGTACTGTATATAACCTGTACTAAAACACAAATAAGTGTGTGATTGTACAAAGTATGAAGTAATTATGTTTGTGCATAAAGTAATAATGTCTGTGCGTAATGATGTAAGTGATACGCTATTGCTGGACGTGCATTTGAGCTAATAACTCTTGTAATGTATTTGACATTGCTGCACATTTAAAGGCATAAATCTGACTGATACATTTGCTATTTTAACAAGGGATTGTAGCCGACACGAAACGCTGCTTAATTTTGACAACAGATTTGAAAGCTTTAATCTTATAAAATCACACACGTTAGGAACGCATATGAATATGCTCATACAGCTTGGAATAGAGGCAAGCCAGGTGTAAATATATTATTAAACCGAGTGAGTGAATTACACACTGTGTCCAAAATATAATTTAATGCAGATATTCCATCTAGCAGTGAACAACATGTCAATCTCTGCCATTTTGAAACCAACTCTGCTACTTGCATTGACACATTGGCGATATGCATTTAATTTAATTAAAGGGAAGCTAAGGCTATATGACAATGGATAAGAAATCTGCAAACTATTACAGAAATCAATTAAACATGAAGTTCTGGCAATAGGAGATTTAGGCACTTGAATCAACCAGCGCCGCAAGGGGAGGAGCCTTCACGTGAACCCCAGACGCTATTGGGTCCCTTGCTGGAAGCTGCTCGCCAGACTCTTTTCGCCAAAATATGTCCTAGCAATGTCATGCTCGGAGAGATCCGTTTTCACGGCGTCCTTGGTTAACTCTTTCGTGGACTGCCGTCCAAAGGAACCCCCCTCTGTCGCCCACCCTCACCAGCACGCCGCCCGCTCTGACCCGGACTGCAGAGTCCCAAATAACTGGGGTTCCGTGCCAAACACGGCCATACCCGGACAATGAATCAGCACCAGCCGTTGCAGCCGCAGGAAGCTATGGCTCAGCCTCGACACCAATATCACCAGGGAGTACTGAACTGGGACGAGCCACACTTGAGCCCGGTCCGGGTTCCGCAGGTCTGTGCGTGTCCTTACAGCGCGTCAAACAGAAAAGAAGACTCCTCCTATTTGCTCCTGGAACCGGACAACCACTCAAAACCGTCACCGGACGTGTCTGCCTTCACCAGACTAATGTCTGAGATGGGCTCCATGACGGGCGGTTCTGGTCCAATTCAGGGCTACTTCCGCCCGGAGCAGTCATACTCGGGGATCAAAGTCCACGAGTACAACAACAGAGTGCACCGCTTGCCCACGGTCAATCCACCGCGCGCTTCCCACTCAGACTCGCGCCATTTGTACAACCTGAGCTTCCCTGTGCTGCCATACCCAGACACTGACATCAAGCGCGTTATTGATGACTTAGCGCTGGGCAGCAGTGAGTGTCCAGCCCAGAGAAGCGATAGCAGCAGCATCACCACCCTGGCCAGCAATCAGACCAACACGGAAGACTTAGTCATAGGTTTATGGCGAGACAAGCCCCCATCAGACTTACCCGAGGGCGATAAAAGTTCCCAGACAGGAGACGCAAGGTGGGTAAATGGAATGAAAATGAAAAAAGCTCTGAAAAGATAGAACGCGACCATGGCAATAGCCACAGGAAAACATGATCCCGTCAATCGAGACAAGGTGATTTTTTTTTTATGAAGGCTGTTAAAGGGAAGAGCGAGGAGAGGACAAAGGGAGCCATTGCTCAAAATTAATTTATTGCATCGAACTACCCTCGCCAGGCTAAATTGCACACAATTTTACTGTGCACTCTTTTGAACATCAAAAAAGCGGAAGTCTCCTTTGTGTTTAGGGAAAGTTAGCTAGGTGTAGCCTACAATTGACTGTGGGCCCAGGTTTATGTGAGGGTAGGCTATAACCGACTGACTCAGTCTCACAATAAAATGTAGGCTAAAGCTAATGCTAGCTGTTGCAATGCTAGATGCTATAGCTAACATGTATATAGTTTCGTAAAATGAGCTATCTAATTTAAAAAGGGGATCATATAATACGGACGTTAACCAATGAGCCAGATATTGACATAGCTCTAGTCAGGTTGTAAAGTCATTATGCATGGAAATATTTGGCATTGAATGTTCAAATGACATCATTTTGTTCAAAATAATACTTTTCTGTACAACTATACCATGTTTGTCAATGGTAAATATCGAAATAAGTTGTCCAACGGCATTTAGCATACTACAAATAAATTGTCATTATAGGCCTAGTGAAACCAATTAATGGATCAACAACAACCCATTTCTACTTAAGATGTTCAATGTATTTGTTCATTTTTTCTGTGAAATCTTCTGATTTCTATAGCCTACTCAGAATAGAGCTTTGTCATATAATGATTTATTGAGTAGGCTAGCATCATTTAGCCTAACAATAGCCTATGCCTCGCTAGAAGGCTACACACCATTCACATCATCTGCTACATTCAGATAGACTGCTACATAGCTTTTTGTCCATTTGCAAATTAAACATAGGAAAATATTGAGATTTGTAAAATATTTGATCCAAACATGGGCCTAGCATCGTTTTTTGTTTGACTTATGGGTTGCTAGACAAATGGACTTTACTCCAGTAGCACGACATTCGTTAAACTCAATAACAGAATTGTAAGAGCTATTCCTATGCCTCTCCTATGCATGTGTAGTCCTACATATTTTCCATTTGTCCTTTTGATAATAGTTTGTTCTTTTGATAATACCCTATTCACGCCCAAGTAGAATGTAAGTCGTTTTAGCTAAGGCCTACATGATAACAAACCCTGCATTTCAGATAATTACCAGAGAACTAGAAATCAGTCAATTAGCGGAGAAAATAGAACACAAAACAGTTGTGCTACCTCTATCTCTCTCTCTCTCTCTCTCGCTCTCTCTCTCTCTCACACACACACACACACACACACACACACACACACACACACACACAGGGGGAGAGAGGCATGTCATGTGACATTATATCCCGCCATAAACTGAAATTCTCAGCCAGGTAATGCCCGCGAGAGCATTATAGAAATGTGCATATCCTGGAACAAAGAATTCGTGCTCTGCCATGCTACCACTAAATACATGTTTTGTCTTGTTTTGACAGAGGATGCAACATTCAAAAATGATGCATCCTGTGGATGGCTGTGGGCGAAGGCAGGGAGGAAGAAGCGCTGTCCTTACACCAAATACCAAACCCTGGAGCTGGAAAAGGAGTTCCTCTTCAACATGTATCTGACTCGCGATCGCCGCCTGGAGATCGCTCGCAGTGTCAACCTCACTGACCGTCAAGTCAAAATCTGGTTCCAGAACCGCCGCATGAAGATGAAGAAGATGACACGGGAACACAGAACCAGGGACAAGATCACACATTTCCCCATCTGATTCCTCACAAACATGGTGCGCAGAGACAGGCCTACATGGACATGACTGAGTGCAGGAGCACGGGATGATGCAACGTCAATAATAGGATGGACCGTATGCTGAAGGATGTGGCGATAGAGGCCCTGATCGGAAGGATGAGCTGGATGAAAGTACTATCTATGTCCTATACACTTTGCATGAGGATATGGTGTCTCTTATCGGTTACACTTGAGTTTTTCCATGAAGGAGACATATCGGGGATGCTTTTTCTTTCTCCATACCCCTGTCCCGCAACACTCTTCATAAAAGCACTTTATTTGATTATTATTTAAACAACTGTCTTGTAGTTGTTTCTTGATAGCTCAATAGAATGATTGCAACGTTGCTTAATTGGCTTTTTTTGCCAGACATAGGCTACTGTCTTGAATCGACGACGATTGTTTACTAGTCTAGGCTATGGGAAGCCAATTTAAAAGGATCACTTTATTTATGACCTGATCACTATTTTATTTATTTTCGGACGCAATTGTATTTGTAAGACACGTCTTTACAGCTCTGAAAATGTGCACCAATAAGCACAATATTTTGAACTTCAATTTGGTAAAATAGGAAGGATTTAAAACATGATTTATTGTTTATACTGAGTCCTTTTTCAGATAGCTTGATTACAATAATGCATGATTGAATGTATAAAAATACTTATTTGTTTTGTAAATGAGAGCATTTGAATAAAAGGTTACGCTTTCCGTGATATAGGGAAACATTTTCTTATGCACATGAGCCCTTGACGTTCCAAAAGGCAAGCCTGGGATAGAATATATATTTTGGTCTTGTATTATCACTTTCTAAGCTAATGTTTGTTTTGATATAGTTTCGCCTATCACTTTTGCTTGAATAAATATTCCCCAGTTCCCATATTTCTTAGTTTGCAACTTCGATATGTGTAGATAGATGGGGAAAAACACACGGCTGTCATACAGCTGATTAAATAAATAGTTTTTTCCCTATTACATTTAGTGTAATTCAGTACATCCCATTGCAACAATTTCTAGTTCTAGACACCTATTACCACCCTTAGCCCATCCCTCTTCCTAGTAGCCTACTCCTACCAGGTCATATGAACTCCAGTAATGTGATTATTCTTCCTGTAGTGATGATTGTATTTGCTGTAACTATTATTATTATTAGACTATTATTTGTGGTTTGCAGTAGCCTACTTGTATGGTGTAATTTCCTTATCCTAACAAGCAATGTCAATGCATATATTTGGTTTATTCAAGGTCTATTTTAAAACAATTTAATCGGATTTAGGAGTGATTCATTGTAAAATGAATAATGTTGTTTAATACCTATTTTTTAATACCTACTTCTATCGTGTCCCCTTAACTTTATTTCACTTTTTTCACTAGCTGAGTTCGGTGGCCACCATTTACTGTAGCCTATCTATTCTTTTTTTTTCATTTTTTTTTTTCAAAAGCCAAGTTGCAGATGCCAGATGCTGATTTGCGGGTTGTTAGGCCAGTCTTTCACGTCCTCCGGGAACAGTGTAGGCCTACATGCATTCCACATAGAATGTCCTCTTATTTTTTTTCTTCCAGGTTGTTAGAGATTGGTCGAGCTGGAATTATGATATTGTCTGCGGCATTTATAGGCTATTATGCTAAATAAATAAAAATATTTATAGCCTAATGCCAGATCATCATGATAACCACTGCACGTAAAAAACGAATAACGTGCGTGTATTTAGATTCATTCGACGTTATTTAAGTTATCTATGGTTTCATACTGCATGGACTTTCTCTGATATTGTTTGAATATGAAGATTTGATGGAAAACACATGCCGCAACTTCCCCACATTGGACATACAGCTGTTGGCCTTTTGTCTCAAAAGGAGACTGTGTAGCGTCTCCTGCTAGCATCGCCATGTTGAAGAGCGCACCATTTTAGTGACGCTGTCTGGGGCCTCCCGGTTTTATCAGGGGCAATTGACAGGACATTTATTGTAGGCTCAGGAAGTCAGGATAGTGGATGTGTCCCAGGGATTATATTACTGTACTTTTCACTACAATATTATTGGCTGCTATTGTGGCTAACAAAGACGTCCTAACGTGCGTTATAGGCCTTTTCGTGCATGATGAGGCATGGGCATGCTACTTCCTCTCCTATTCTTTATTCCTACTCTATTGTTTTATAACTGCTGATCACTTTAGTAGGCTTGTGTATATGGAATAAAGGATACCGTTTAAAAAAAAAGTGTTATTCAATAGCTGGAACGAAGACTAACGTTTATGGATGGTCACCCACGGTTATAAGGTATGGGAACTTGTCCAGCGGCTCAACCAGGTTCTCTGAAGGTCTTTGAAGAGAATATGTGAGACAAAGCTGTTGTGTGATTTAGGTAGTTTCAAGTTGTTGGGCTGGACGCGTATCACAGGAACCTGAAACTACCTGAATTACTCCAGTACTGCACATCAACGCTCGTGCGTAATGGACGAATGCAACAACAAAGAGAATGCGCAATTTCCACATGTCTGCGCACTACCCTCCATTTTGTAATTGCACACAAAAAATGTATTCAATATTATCTAAAAAAAAGTTGTTATTGTTGACATGTATTTCACTCCGAAGAGTCAACTTATTGCACATGGGCGTGTGGAGAGTTAAATTGCTAATTTAGGCCTCCCCCAAAATGCCTGCGTACACTTGGGTGTGATGAACGCTTCTTCTAATATAATACATTTTATGAAGTACAGTAAGCCCAGACGCCGTAAATCATCTCCATTAAAAACATAAGCACCGGGCTCTACCTCATATTCACACCAGCTTGTTTTGACTTTGCGTCAGGGGCAAGGCTTTCATATAATTTGCAGGCCATTTAATAGCACATTAACATTTACCGTCTACAATACATTTTCTAACTTCTATCCTGTGTCAACTTTGTAATACAAGACAAATATCATTCACAATTTTTTTGTTATAATTTTCTGCATTGTTAACACGAACTTTTCAATAAACTTCAATGAACAAAAACAAACTCTGAAGCCATATATGCTTTTGATAAATCCGTTTATTTCTTACAGATAAATGTTACAGCATTACCAGTGCCTTCAGAAAGTATTCATACCCCTTGACTTATTCCACATTTTGTTGTCTTACAGCCTGAATTCAAAGTGGATGAAAGAAAAAAAAATCTCACTCATCTACATACAATACCCCATAATGACAAAGTGAAAGCATATTTTTCTAAAATTTAGCAGATTTATTGAAAATCAAATACAGAAATATCTCATTTACATAAGTATTTACACCCCTGAGTCAATACATGTTAGAATCACCTTTGGCAGCGATTACATCTGTGAGTCTTTCTGGGTAAGTCTCTAAGAGCTTTGCACACCTGGATTGTACAATAATTGCACATTATTATTTTTTAAGAACATTCAGTGTTGTCTTGGTAAGCAACTCCAGTGTATATTTGACCTTGTGTTTTAGGTTATTGTCCTAATGAAAGGTGAATTTGTCTCCCAGTGTCTGTTGGAAAGCAGACTGAACCAGGTTTTCCTCTAGGATTGTTCCTGTGCTTAGCTCTAGTCCGTTTCTTTTTATCCTAAAAAACTCCCTGGTCTTTGCCGATGACAAGCATACCCATAACATGATGCAGCTACCACTGTGCTTGAAAATATGAAGAGTGGTACTCAGGACATAAAGTTCATTTCTTTGCCACATTTTTTGCTATTTTACTTTAGTGCCTCATTGCAAACAGGATGCATGTTTTGGAATATTTGTATTCTGGAGAGGCTTCCTTTTCAATCTGTCATTTAGATATTGTAGAGTAACTACAATGTTGATCCACCATCAGTTTTCTCCTATCCCTGAGCGGTTTCCTTCCTCTCCGTCAACTGAGTTAGGAAAGACGCCTGTATCTCTGTAGTGACTGGGTGTATTGATACACCATCCAAAGTGTAATTCATAATATTCAATGTTTGCTTTTTACATTTTTACCCATCTAACAAGATGCCCTTCTTTGCGAGGCATTGAAAAACCTCCCTGGTCTTTGTGGTTAAATCTGAGGGATCTTACAGATAATTGTATGCGTTGGGTACAGAGATGAGGTAGTCATTCAAAAATCATGTTAAACACTGTTATTGCACACAGTAAGTCCATGCAACTTATTATGTGACTTGTTAAGCAAATGTTTGCTCCTGAACTTATTGACACTTGTCATAACAAAGGGGTTGAATACTTATTCACTCAAGACATTTCAGCTTTTCATTTTTTATTAATTTGTAAACATTTCTAAAAACATAATTCCACTTTGACATTATAGGGTATTGTGTGTAGACCGGTGACACAAAATCTCAATTTAACCATTTTAAATTCAGGCTCTAACACAACAAAATGTGGAAAAACTAAAGGGGTGTGAATACTTTCTGAAGGCACTGTATGTCTTTATATATAACCCAAGGGTTACCATGAATATTACCAAAGGAATGTCTCTGTTGGGGATGACTGTTACACATGAATGGCTGATACACTTTCTCTTTTTTTGTTTTGATGATTTCATGTGAAAGAGTATAGACTTTTTGTACTGGTAAGAAGAGCGTGTGTGAGTTGTGTGTGTGTTTGAGAGAGAGATCTGTCATCATGAAACCTAACAACTTCATTAACTTGGTCTGAAGGTGGATTCTTACACATTCAATGGCAATGAATTTAAAATGCAACTGTCATTACATTCTGCATTTCAGTTGGCAATGAAGCCTATTATCTACTTCGCCAGAGTTAGATGAACTCATGGATACTATTTTTGTGTCTCTGCATCCATTATGAAGGAAGTTAGAGGTAGTTTCACGAGCCAATGCTAACTAGCGTTAGCGCAATGACTGAAAGTCTATGGTATCGAGTAGCATGCTAGCAGTTACCATAGACTTCTAGTCATTGTGCTAATGCTAGTTAGCAATTGCGCTAACACTAGTTAGCAACTTCCTTCAAACTGCACGCAGAGACATAAAAATGGTATCCATTA